AGGTCTTGCCCCTAGAGCTATCTGGGCCCAGTTTGTCCAGTATCATCAGCTCTCTGGGGTGAGGACCACGCCTCCAGGTGCCCTAAGCAGTCCCCTTCCCTGAACAGTCCACCAGCCCTCCAGGGCTGCCACCCCCCAGAAAATGCAGCACGGTAGGAATCTGAGGTGGGCTGGAGTGGGGAAGGAAGACACACGAAGGCCCAAGAATAGAGATCACAGAGGGGGTGCCACGTGGTGATGTGGACAGAGTAAATGCAAGAGGGTGAGAGGGAGAGGGACGGTGAGAATGAGTGACAGAAAACCAAGAGGAGCCWTAGATGTGTAAGCCATCAGCACAATATGCACACACACTCACATGCAAGTGTGCCCATGTGCACACGAAGACACACACAACACAACATGGCATGACCTCCCCACCACATGCAGACAGGCAGAGCCAGCACCCCCTTTCCTCTGACACATCTGCACACACACACAACATTGAGAACATACAACAGTCCCACCAGCCACACRCACACAACCACCTACAAAGCAGACCCCACCTCTGCCAACACAGGTGCTCTCTCCTACACACAGGGCCACACCATACCCAGGAACCAGCACAGCCCAACTGCCCATTATGTCTACTCCCAAACATGCTGGCACCAGAGCAGGGACATCTGCAGGGCTGTCCCCTTCTGCCTCTTTCCCTGACACCTTGCTTAAATCCTATCTTCTCCAGCAGCTTTTCCTGAGCCAGCCCATGCAGAGCCTGTCTCCCAGCTAGAACGTTCTCCCTAACCAGGAATGTGTTCATTGTCCACTGATGGCTCTCCACTGCATCCTCAGTTCCACAGGGCAGGGACTGGGTCTGTTCTGTTCACTGTTGTATCCCTGGTACTGAGAGCAGGCACAGCACACAGGGGCAATACTCATTCATCCAATTATTGAGATGGACCAAACAGGCATAAAGCACTCACCTGGTCCCACATTCTCCATTATACGCACACACGCATGTGCACACACACATTCACTCACCCCCTCAGTGGGCAACAGACTTTCACTCATTAGGGGAGCCCATTTCCTCCTCTAGGGAGTCCAAACCTGAGCTCAAGAGGAAGGAGGGAGGGATGAGAGGACAGAGGAAGATGGGGCTGGGCCCACACTGCTCTGGTGGACTCAGAGAAAGTAAGAGTGAGAAGAGGAGACAGAACATACACATGAAGCATGGGGCTAGGGGGATGGCATTCTGCGGCCAGGGCAGCGGTTAGGTCAATGGTGCAGATGTCCAAGCGGCGATGATAAAAAGGCTGGTACCTGCTCGCTGGGACGGGGCAGGAGCAGGGCTTAGAGTGATCACAATAACTGGATGGGAAAGGAAGAAAAAAAACAACACCACGATAAATCACAACAGAAATGGCCGATTTGTCCAAAAGAAAAGAAATCAAATCATAATGAGGAGGAGGGGAGACGCGAGGCACCGAACTGCAGAGATGGGTAGAAACTGACAGAGATGGGAAGGTGGGGAGGATGGGATGGAGCTGACAGACACAGACACCTGGGGGGGACTCCTTGGGACCTGCCCGCCATGGGCCTCACTGGGCCTTGCTCTGCACTGGGAACAGCCACTCTTAAGGTACCCTGGAACCCATACCCAATCCTGTCTCATTCATGCTGGGGCTGGATACAACAGTCCTGCAGGACCCAGCAGGGACCTTACTGGTCTTGGCCAGGCTTCCAGTCCCCAATAACATCCAAAGACAGTATGTTCACCTCTGGGATTTCTCTGGACCCCCAAGAGAATCCCCAGGGAGGAAACCGAACCAACCCATGTCTAAAGAGGGATGGATGGACTCTAAATAGGGACTGAGGGAGGGTAAGACTTGAAGGTCAAGCGACAGTGACCAGGGAGTAGACAGAATTCTGAGATATCAGGGGGGGTGCCTTCCTCCTCCTGTCAACCTGACAAGGAAATATAACTTCCAGGGTCATACCAAAGAGGATATGACAACTTTTTTTTTTTTTGGCTAGATCAAAAGAGAGACAGAAAGGGTCATCATGAGGAGGGGGCCAGTCACAGGGTCCATGGGGAGGGAGAAAAATCCAATTTTTTCTAGCTGAAAAGACTTGGGAGATAGGTATCTGTGAAACACAATGAGAAGGCTATACTATCCCAGGCCAGGTGTGTGTGAAGGGTTGGGAAGACAGCTGTTGATCCAGGACAACAAGATGCCAGGGAGGACGGCATAGATCAGAAAGGAGGCATTTGTGTACTGGGGAGCTAGACCTACCCAACTGTCCAGGCCTGGGGTGTGTGTGTGTGTGTGTGTGTGTGTGTGTGTTGCGGGAAACAGTCATTTGAATCCAGAAGACAGTCACCACCCTAGGAGATGGTGTGTATTTCCAGAGGGCTAGACATCTCACCAAGAGAGTGGCACTGAAGTTAGTCACAGGGGCATGGGGAGGCCTGTTTTATGTGGGAGGGGGTCACTGAGCCCAATGACAAGGTCATCCCAGGCTGGGAAGAAAGGACCACCTGATATAGTCATGGTGTCAAATGGGAGAATGGAGTTAGAAGGATTATATGTGTGTGTGGGGGGTGACCTCGGGTGTTCCCAGGCCAGCTGTGTGACTATGAGTGTTAAAGGATTGTCAGCTAAACCCAAGGCTGGACAGTGGAACTCTTGACAGTCACTGCTACAGAGGGACTGACGGGAATCCTTTTGGGACATGACCACGTTTGCCGGGGGCTCGGATGGGATAACAGTCGCGTGGGTACGGGTGTAGTTCAGTGCAGGTGACAGATACTCCGGCGACCGCGGCGATGGGGGCGGGTCAATGGGTACGGAGGCCTGGCCTGCGGCCTGGTAACTAGCTCCCAGACCCCCAATGAAGGAACCCCCAGGCCCTGGGAACGGCAGCTCGGGAWCCCGCCGGCCCCACGCCCCCCGGGTCACTGTGACCCTCTCCCTGCGGGCTGACAGCGGGGGCGGGGAGGAGCACAGCAAGCGCCCCGGAAGCGGGGGCGGGGCCTGGTCCCGGGGGCGGGGCCTCCCGCAGCTCGCGCCCCGCCCCACCTGCCCCTCCCCCACGCCTCCGTGCTTACTGGGCCTGGGCCGCTGGGGGCTGATATCCAGGTTGAGGTCGATCCTCCTCCGGGCCTCGCGGTTCTCCTGCTTCAGCTTTGCTTCCAGGCGGGACAGCTTTTGCTCCAGGGAGGACGCCGCCATCTTCCCCGCCGCCGCCGCCGCCGCCGCGCACTGCCGGGCCGCCCGTCAGTCCGGCAGACAAACACCGCACTGCGCCTGCGCCCGGATGACCCCGCCGAGCCGCCGTCTCGCCCTGGATGGCGCATGCCCGCGGCGCGCACCCGCCCTGCCCGCGTGCGAAACTCCGCGCGTGCGTATTTAGTCCCAACCCAGGGAGAACGCCTCCTAGAGCTCGCGGCGGGCAACGTGCAACACACCCGCGCACCACTACCACTGGGGTGCGCATGCGTAAATTCCCGAGCGCTCCGCCAAGAGGCGCTGTGTGTAAACCCACGTTTATTTAGTGAACGGTGTGTAGGGTAAACGGCGCACATGCGTAAAGAGGTGGGGACGCGGTCGCGCGCTTGGCTTCTGAGCGAGTGCACTAGCTGTCTGTCTCCCGTGGTTGCCGTAGCAGTGCGCTCTTCCCGACCCGAGTCGGGTCCTGGCAGCCGCACCCTCACGGAACTGGCTTCCTCCTCAGTGCTTCATTAGGATCCTGTTATGCTTAATTGCTGACTGAACGCCCGCTGGCGTGCGGTGCGGCCTCCTCACCGTAATTATGCATCCGTGGGAAGCCCTTTCCATTTCAACTAGTCCCAGCAAGCTCAGGGTTGGACAAGACCTGGCGGGAGGCAAGGGCTCTGGAAATCCAGCCGTGTGACTTCTCACCTCGATGACAGGGCCAAGGTCAAGGCCAAAATTCCTGGCCACACTAGCATGGGACCTTCAGACGTCCCACCCCCATCTGTTCCGCTTCAGGACCTCCAGAATTAGTGTGGGCCCTGGGGTTACGTGCTTCTGTCTGATGCCCTGCCCCCGCCCCCCAGCCTAAATAGATCCTTTTAAGGGGTAAGGTGGGTGCTGGGGAAATGCCCCTGTCTGAAGCCCTGGGTCCCTCAATAGCAGCTTGTGTCTGCTCTAAGGTGCCAGGGGAAAATCTACATTTTGCAGACACTTGGCAATGGCCAAACCCACGAGGTGAAGCTGTGCCAAGTGCCCTACTCACTCTGGAGTCCAACACGGGGGAACACCTTGGGATGGGCTTTGAAGGCTTCAGACTCCTGATGACGACTTGAGGGTGGAGCAGACACTCAAATGTGGATTTAAGAGGATAAAAGGAAAGGGATTCTCTGGGAAAACATCCAGGCAGAAGACACCACCAGATTTTTCCTTCTGATGGGAGAAGGTCTCTACCTTGCCCTCTTGAGCCCCTTTGGTGCCTCTCCTCCTAGGACAGAGGCATCCTTGATTCTGGCAGATAGGTGTAGCCACTTAGTTCTGTGAAATAGGTCTAGACTTAGGTCGGTGGTGGCGACTTAGAAAAAAGCATCCTGCGCAGAAAGGAACATCAATCAGATGCCTGCTGGCAGAAACGCCTGTCAATCAGCCAGATCTCCYGACTAACGCCTGTCAATCAGTAGGATCCCCTGGCCAATCCTGGAGTTCAGCCAACTCCCCTGACCAACTCCWAGGGGGCAAGGGACCCTAAAAACACCTTTTCCTGTCCCAAGTCCTTCCCTTCCTGCTGTAAGCCCCATAAAAGTCCAGTCTAGTCGAGCTCTCAAGCAGTTTCTCCTGTCCCCTCTGTGGGTCTGATCGAGTTCTGCCCGGGAGTGATATCTCAATAAAGCCTGGTTCAGCAGCCTTTTTAAATCTGCCTCCTTTGGTCGCTGCCCACCTCGCCTGATCTGACATAGACAATAACAGGAGTGTACATAAAAGATCAGAATCATGATTATTTATTAAGCACCCAAAGRTACATGTCCCCCCACTCAGGGAACATCCAAAAATAAAGCCCTTGCCTGTCCTCAGAAGAATGTAGACTCCACAGCAGGTGTTGGCCAACCTTAGGAAGTCCATGAATAGTCCTCTGGGAGAACTGTCAATTGCCTGAGGTGGCTGGCAGAGTTTTGCATGTGCGTGACAGGAGCGTTTTTTTCCTAAGGAAGGAGGTGCCCAGCTTTCACTGGGTTCTCAAAGGGCCAGAATCTAAAAGTGGCACAGAATCTAGACATTCCGGTAGCTATTCTTTAGGTTAGTGTTTCCATCATAGAGGCTTAGGACTACCTGCATCATAATTACTTAGCATGCTTATTTATTAGCAGGTCCCTGGCCCCCACCCAAGCTCCTGAATGAGTCTTTCAAGGGTGGGGCCTGAGATGTTCTGTTTTGTCCTAGCCCCTCAGTTGATTTTGGCACATAACCAGATAGGAGGACGATTGTTCTTGGTACACATACATGTCTGTAGCAAAGGACTCATAAATAAAGACTTAGCATCAAAGTTGGGGTGGAGGTTGGGGAGCTGGTCCCTTGTGTCTGTATCCTCTCCTTGGGAGAGAACCCCAGATGTAAGCTGCTTGTTGGTGGTGGGAGGGTTGGAAATCCCATCGGGATGTGTCCCCACTCCCATATGTGACACTAATTGAGCTGGAATGTCCAGAGGGAGGGCATGCCAACCAGCCAAAGACACAGGTGTGGCTTTTGTCTGAGAATTCTTGAGTTAATCCTTTTGTATGGGGTTCCACCCCAAATCCACAACTTCCTGTGTCTCTCTAGACAAACCAGTCCCAGGATCTTTCCTGGACCCCACAAAGCTGACATGTCTGCCTCTCCTCTCCTGGCTGGACCCAGTGGCCCTTTCTCATGGAAGACACTGCTAGGGCAGAAGCATCCAAAGGCCTCTACCTTCACCTTCTCCACCCTGTCTTCATTCCTCCTCCATCCTCTCCCGCACCTCTGCAGGAAGACCCTCATAAAGGGTATCCTCCACCAGCAGTCCCGCCTTCTTGAGTCCCGTGCAGCTGCCGAGTTCTTCTGGCAGTGCCTCCAAACGGTTGCCCTTGAGCTCYAGGCGGCTGAGGGCCCTGAGGGCAGCAATGTGGGGTGAGAGGTGGCTCAGGTGGTTGTAACCCAGAAGCAATGTCCGAAGCTTTCGGCAGAAGAACAGCTCCTCTGGCAAGGCCTCGAGGGCATTGTAGGAGAGAGCCAGGTGCTGCAGGTTCTGGAGGAGACCCACCTCGGGTGGCAGGGAACGCAGCCCATTGTGCGACACATCCARCAACCGGAGGCCAAAGCACAGGCCGAGCTGAGTCGGCAGGGTCTCAAGCTTATTGTGGCTGAGATAGAGCTGCTCAAGGCTCCTGAGCTTCCGCACATGCTCGGGGATATAGGCGATCTGGTTGTGCCACAGCCTGAGTGTGACCAGCTTCCGACAGTGCTGGAAGCTAAGGATCTCCTCGATGGACCGCAGATGGTTGTCTTTGAGGTCCAGCTCCTGCAGCGCACCTAGGCTGAAGATGGCATGGGGGATGCGCTCCAGCCCGCAGGCCACCAGCTCCAGCTCCCGCAGTACCACCAGCTTCTTGAGGCTGTTGAGGGCAAGCAAGCGGGCCCCGTCATTGTGCAGACTGAGCCGCTGCAGGTGCCCTGCCACATCAGTCACGCTGGCTGGCACCTTCCCGGCATTGCTGCGTAGGGACAACACTTTGAGCTGCTTCAGCTCCCGGAGGCTCTCAAGGGTGGCAGCCCGAGCCAGCTCTGGAGGAAACAGTCCCTCTAGGTGCAGCTCCTCCAAGCCACGCAGCCCGAACACCCAAAGGGGCACTTCGCGGAGCTCTTCGCATTTGACGCGGATCACCTTCAGGCGGTCCCGCAGAAAGATCTGTGAGGAGAAGGGCAGCCGGGCAGGAGAGTGGAGCAAGCTGAGCTCCTGAAGGTGAACCAGCTGCGAGAGGCCCGGGGGGAAGGTGATATCACAGATGGCCTCCAGCCGGAGCGCCTCCACCTCACTGAGCTCGAAGACAGTGTCTGGCAGCCCAGGGAGCATGCAGAGGGCCAGCTCCAGCCGGCCCCACGCATTGCGCTGCAGCTTCTGCCGAAGCTTCTCAGGTGTCCACTCGTGGTTGAGGTTGAGTTGCTTCAGGCGGCTCTCACTGACCTCTGAGAGGAAGACAGCGAAGCGCTTGGAGTAGAGCGAGTCATACTGGTCTATGAGGTGCAGCATGAAGGCAAAGTCGTTCTTGACGTCAGGGATGTCGTTCATGCCTGTCTCTTCCCGCACAGAACGGAAGGAGTACTCCTTGAGGGGCCGGTGGAACAGCCAATAGAGGGTGTACAGGCAGGTGATGCCATAGACGCAGACGAAGGAGATGTAACAGAAGGCCAGCTTGGAGAAGAGGTGGGCCTTGGTGTGGTTGCAGCAGAAGCTGGCATACCCGGTGACTTCTGAGGTCTCCACCCGACAGGCCACCAGAAAACTGATCTTCTCCACATAAACCAGGTTGTAAACCAGGATGGCTAAGAACTTGCAGACTTTGAGCACCGTCTGCCGGATGTACATGGTGTAGAGGATGTCACCCTCTTCCACGTGCACCCGGAATTTCTTGACCTTCTCAAACAGGGCTTTGGCCTGCTCGCCCTCCTTTTTGTCCAGCAGGGTGACGGCAGGGGGTTCAGTCACCACCTTCTCAGGCTCTGCCAGCACCTTTTCCTTCTCTCCCTCACCTGTCTTCCCTGTCCCTGTCCCTGCTGTGGTCACCACGGTCGCTGCAGCCCGTCCGGCAGCCGGGCCCTTGTGGTTCTCTCCAGAGACCTCAGACAAGGCCCGTGTGGTCCACGGTGAATCAAAACACTTGCCCAGGATGGAGATGAAGTGTTCGATCTTGGAGCTGGTGCCAGGGAACTTGAACCAGAAGCTGGTGCAGACCATGAAGATGAGTGTGTGGATGACCACGAGGTAGGGAAAGTACTTGGCGTACCAGTGGAGGGCGGTCTCGTAGCACAGCTGGTTGATGAAGCTGTACTGCTGCAGGTCCAGGTTGTTCTTGAGGCCGCTGAGCTGCTGGAGACCTCCCATCTGCTCGGAGACCCCCCGAGGCAATAGTTGCCGGCACGGAGCCTCTGATAGGTTCTCCCGGGGTTCATGACTGGGCAGACAGATGATCTTGTCCTGTGTCACCTGAGAATGAGGAGGTGGCAAAGCAGAGTGTTGGGATCATGAAGCAGGGGGCAGGGGACAGAAGCAGGCTGAAGGTAAGAGATCCTGGTCCTAGACCCTGGCCAGCTGGCTGACTGTGGGGGACGGGTGCTAAACCTCCACATCGGTCCTTGTCTGAAAAAAAAGGAGTTGGGTTGGATTGTGTCCCTCCCCTCAAAAAGATGTTGAAGTCCTCAACCTCCAACCCCTTGTGAATGTGGCCTTCTTTGGAAAAGGGTCTTTGCAGAAGTAATCAAGATGAGGCCGTGAGAGCGAACCCTAATCCAGTAGGACCGTGTCCTTATAGAAAGGGGACGTTTGGACATAGACACAAGGAGAATGCCACGAGATTTCGGGGCYGCCAGAGCCTAGGAGAAAGATGGGCACAGATTCTCCCTCACAGTCCTTGGAGGAACCCCGCTGCCTCGGCACCTTGGTCTCCACTGCCCTCTAGACCAACTGCACCGTAACAAGTTTCTGGTGTTCAASCCACTCGGTCTGTGCTACTGGATGTCAACAGTCTTACCAAAGTCAGCAACCGCAGTTCTTTCTAGATCCCAGGGATAGACAGAGTGTTGTGAAAGCAGGGAACACCACAGGAGGACTCAGAGGCCACCCCCAGTGGTGGAGGGGAGGTAAGGGGCCAGAATCGGTCTGCAGGCGGGCAAGGGCTTGACAGGAAGGCTTTTAGTGCGGCCTTGCCYCTCGATGGCCCGGTCCTTTACCTGGAGGGTACAGCCAAAGACCCCAATCATAAGCATCGCTATGGTGAGGTACTCGGCCAGCACATCCCACCAGGGTTTGAGCACCTTGAACGCCGGCTGCTGTTCCGCAAATTGCTTGAACTCGGCCACGGGGATCATCTTGCCTACAGCAAACAGGGAGATAGTGTAGAGAGATCATGAGGAAGAGGTGCCTCCCTGGCAGGGGGGCAGACATAGCCTGTGCTCCCTGACAGGAGCCATGTGCCCAGCTTCTCCTCTTAGGTTCCCCCCTGCCAGACCCCACCTCCTTCCCAGAGCCAGGGCTCCAGATCTTGCTGATTCTCCTGCCCTGATCTGACTCTGTAGCCCTCTCAGAGCTCAATAGGGACAGTCCACAGGGTTCCTGTCCCCCGGCCTTCCCTTGTGGCCTTCTCCCCAAACCCAGCATGCCCCTCCCACCCTTGATGCTGGAAGCCCCCAAACACCCACTTGGGGCTGCCTGACTCCAGCCTAGAATCTCACTGCCACAGGGCAGGAGAGCGCCCCACAGCTCAGGACTTCCGGGGTGTGGGTCCCCCACCCCCTCCAGGGGTGCTCCTGGGCACCACCTCCAACCTCTAACCTGAAAAGCCGGCTGGCAGCCTGGCTGGAACCTGGCTCTGCTCTGGTTACCAGGGCCCCTGGGGTTAGGGAGTGGCCCAGCCCTGGGGGTGGTGTGTGACTGAGACACCAGAGTTTCTAAGGGGCTGTACCCAGCACCTGAGGTACAAACTAGAGACTGGGCTCTGTGAGGGAGGGGAGTGTTGGCTTGGCCAAGGGTGGAGGACCACAAGTGGAATGCTCCCGGGTGACACCTACAACTGGCAGGGAGCTGCACTGCCAGGCTCCCGGCTTCCGGCCCACTCCTCTGTCCCTGGCTTCCGTTTGGACCAAGGTATCATTACTGCAAAACAGTCTGGCCAGCCCAAGTCACAGATGGGGGCGAGGGGCACAAAGCTGGGACGCCACCCTCTGAGGCAGGCAGCCACTTGCCACGGCTCGGGGAGGAGAGCGCAGGGGTCCTTAGGCAGCTCACCCTTGCCAGCATCGGAGCTTACCCATCTCCATCACCTCTCTCTTAAGCAGGCTTCTAAGAGTCTCCTGTCCCCATCCTGTCACTGGGCACAGGCTGGATTAGGTAGAGAAGGGAAGCCCTGGCTCTTGTCTCATCCCTCAGCCAACTGTGCTCATACCTCTGCCTCCCTTTTTAGTCCCCATGTCCCCAAAGGTTTTGTAATGACTTCTGAGTGATAAAGTCAGGGTGGGGATGATGACACGGAATGCAGGTTTGCCCACCAGCCTGAGGGCTGGCAGTGCCTCACCACGAGACTCCCTTCGTTTCCTCTGAGGCTCCCACCTTCATATGGGGGGTCTGCAGGCAAGGAGCGCCCAGGGTCTTCCCGCACATGATGGACACTCATGCCCGCCCTATTCACCAGAGTGCAGGATCCTCTCTCAGTGGCCCATCCCCCACGCTCACTAACACTCCCAGGCCTTCACCAAAAGCCAAGGAAGAATATTTCCAGCCTTCATCAGTAGCATCTAATCCAGAGAAAAGCCCAAGCAGCTCAGCAACCTCAGGGAATGACTGTACATGGTAGCCACCAAAAGGGACACCTGGGGACATTTTGGAGCACACACATTTGTGTATGAGGGAAGACCCAGAACAAGGGAGTGTTGAATTTCAGCCACTCGCCCAGGGTGGCCTTTGAGGAATGCTGTTTCRTTGCTGGGGACAGTGGCAGCAATGCCACCCACATACGCTGGTAGGAACCAACTCCTTGTCCTGGTCACCATTCACGACCCACCTCACATTGTTGTAAATTTCACCCCCTGCCTGCCCACCCTCCTGGGTGTACAACCACAGGCAAAAAGACAGAAACCCGGGCTGGGGATGTGGCTCAAGCGGTAGCGCGCTCGCCTGGCATGCGTGGGACCCRGGTTCGATCCTCAGCACCACATACCAACAAAGATGTTGTGTCTGCCGAGAACTAAAAAATAAATATTAAAGTTCTCTCTTTAAAAAAAAAAAAAAAAAACAGAAACCCTCAGGGTCCCCTTGGACTTCTCAGTGACTCCAGGGGAGGCGGATGAATCGGAGGCGGATGCAGGGGATTATCATTATCCGTCTCCATGACTCAAACCTGTTGGTCCCAAACCTGCCATTAAATTTCCGCAGACACCAGGGTGCCCCCCCCCCCCCACGTCTGAGCAGAGCTGGTGGCAGAGCCCAGAAAGAGGGGCTGATGGAACTGGGGTAGGGGCAGAAAAAATATGGCAACGGAGACCACACTCAATGTGTGCCATCAGATGTTCTCAATGCGTCCTTTCTCCCAACCTGGAGAGCTTGGGTGCTGGGCTCTTGTTTTCCAGACTTGGAGGAGAGATGTGACTTGTCAAGGTTTCCATCCCAATCCCCTCACCTGTCTGCTTGACGGCCCTCAATGCTCTGTCTCAGGAAGGCACCTCCCACAGTGATATGGCATCTCCACAAAAAGAACCCTGAAGGGGTGTTCCAGAAGGCCAGGACGGGGGCCTCACCATCTAGGACCACCAGGCCCCTCTCCTGGGCCTCACTCCTGCTCCCTGTCCCTGGGCCCCTCAGGCCTCTTGCCTCCTCATGATGTGGTGGTTAGTTTCCTACTGCTGGAGTAGAGGTGGGTGGGGGGTGGCGGGAGGCAGACCCCTCCTCACCCACAGCCAGGAAGAAACAGCAGGCTTTCCCCCTGGAGAGCACAAAGTTCAACTCCTGCTTTTTTCACAAGGGGAACTTGAGGTGGGGAATGGGGGAGCATAGCCCACTTAGCAGATCTCTGGCCAGCCTGTGGACTCAGCCCACCAGCACAGTTTCCAAGCTTCCCTTGCAGGAACTTGGGGTCTGGGGAGTGTTGAAGTTCAAAAATCTCAGAAAGCAGCTGGTGCGCACGCACCCCCAGTGGAAAGGCTCTGGGGCTTTGAGAAACTCGCTGGGACAAGTTGTCTGACCTCTCAGTCACCAGCAGCAGTACAGGATATGGAGATCGGGACCCTCGAGGTCCACCCCTGACGGTGGAAGGTTTCCTTACTTGGCTGGGTCTGCCTGGTTCCCAGGACAGGCGACCTTGGGGCCTGCCTCTGTTTGCGCACCCACCCGCCAGCTCCCGGTGTGTCCCGGACGTCCCGCCCAGGCCACAGAGTCTGCAGCACCTGAGCGATCCTCCCTCCGCGGGATTCCAGCGCCAGTCCGACCCCCACCTGGTCATCCCACGCCCGCCGGCGGGGAGCCCCTTACTCACAGCTCCGGGGTGGACGCCGGGCCCAACTCCTAGGTCTCTGGGAGCGGAGCAGCCGGGACTCCCGCAGAGTTCCCGGGCGGGTTCGCCAGGGTGAGTCAGGGCCAGCGGGCGGGCCAGGAGCCCGAGAGCCGCCCCGCCCCGCCCCGCCCCCGGACAGCTCGGCCCGCCTCGCTGGTCCACGCGGCTCTGGGCGCCACACGATCGCCGACAGGCCAGGGGTCGTCATCCTGCTCTGCCCAGGTGGGCACAGAGCCGGCCCCAGCGGAGGGGTTTAGGAGTCTGCAGTCCAGCTGCAAGGGGGGAAACTGAGGAAACGGGACGTCCTGGGCTCTGAAAACTACGTTATGGTCGTCTTTCTGGACAGGTGTCAGCAATGGGTGGAAATGTTTCCCCCAACCCTTACTTAAGGCACTGCCAGTTGGCCTCGAAGCCGACCAAGACACAGGTGACCAGAGTCTTCAGATGGAAGATGGCTCCTTTTTGAGGAGCAGAGGAGAGGGGGGGGCTTCCCTCTTCTGTTCTGGCCTTGGGGTAGGAGTTGGGCCTAGCCCAATGCAGCCAGCCCAGTGGGGGTTCTAGCTTGACTGTCCCTGTCCAGACTTATGGCCCACCCTCGGGGAAGTTGGGGCAGGCTGCTCCCAGATCCTGGGGGCTGCAGGGAGGGGCCAGAGAACTCTGGTAGCTGGGGATGGAGTTCTGGTCTGGGAACCCCACTTCTGGTAACCAAGACTTTGCCTTCCCACCACCACCCTAACCTTGCCGTCACCTAGTGGGGAGCCTGGCCTGGGTCACAGAATAGCAAATCAAGCAGACCTCTCTCTTTGACCTGGAGGCGGCCAGGTTTGAACTTTGATCTACTCTTGGTCTTAAAATCCCTTCACCAGGGAAAGCCCATCAGCCCCCTCCCCCATGGAGGAAAAGAAAATGTCTGAGACCGCCTGAGGCACTTAGAGCCAGGATCACCTAATCAAAGGCCCTCTGGGTACTACCACAGGCAGTCCAGAAACTTCTTGGGTGTTCTTTAGATTCTTTTGTTGTTTTGTTTTGTTTTGTTGGTGCTGGTGATGCAACCCAGGGTCTCACCTGTGCTACTCAAGCCACTCTTCTGCTGAGCTACATCCTAGACCCAGAGTTTCTTTTGGAGACAGACATCAAGTACACAAACAATTGCGGGAATAAGATAGTGCCAGATTCCGACAAGTGCTGTAGTTATAACAAATCAGGCTGAATCAGTGGCCCTGGAAAAAGTGTTCTGAGGACCTCCTGGAGGCACAGACCTTTCAGAAAGGTTGTCCTTGGGATCCATGCCCCGGAGGTTTGTTTGCAATCTATGCAAATGCTTCTCTCCTTGTGCAAGAATCCTAGTCAGTGGAGTAGCAGCCCTAGTCACTTGGCTTTTGCTTCCTGCTGGCCCTTGGAACGGTGCCTGACACAGCAGGCAYTAATAATTGATTGATGGATGTGTGATTAATGGAAGGTTGTCTTGGTTTGATCTCCTCCAGCCTCACGCGTGGAGAGGAGGAATTTGATGCAAATAGTTTATCTGGCAGKTGATCCTGGGGATAAAGCAGCAGGGAAACGAGGAAGTGAGACTGGGAGGAGCAAGAAGCCAGTTTATTGTTAATGAGGATAAAAGGCAGGATAGTGCTGTGGGCAGTCTGAAGTCCACTGTGCTGGGGGAAATCTAGGAGATGATGGAGACACCTCCAGGTTCTTCCACCAAAGACGTGAGGGMATTGGAAGTACCTAGCCACCAGCCCATCTGTCATTGAGAGCTGTTCTGGAGACTGGCCCTTTGGCCCTCCCTGGGCATGGGCACTGAGAGTGCTCAGGGACACTGATAGGACTGCAGGGAACCTGCTGCAGTTGCAGATGTCTGAATGGAATGGCTGGGTTGTAGCTCAAATCCTGAAAATGCCTTCCAAGTGTTCTATGGGAAGCTCCCACTTCGCAATCCCATTCCTATGGCAACTTACCTAATGGTGATATCCAGSTTTTAAAAAAATTGGTAAAATACACATAACATGAAATTTACCATCTCCAGTTTCTAAGTGCACAGCTCAGGGGCATGGAAGACATTTATATTCTTGTGCATCCGTCCCCACCATCCACTGCCAGACTCTTGTTCATTTTGAAATTAACTCTCCCTCCCCCTCCCCGAGCCTTCACACCCACCATTCTACTTTTTGTTTCTATGAATGTGTCTATTTTAGGGACCTCATAGAAGTGGAATCATACAGTATTTGTCCTTTTGTGACCGATTTCACTGAGCACAATGTTCTCAGCATTCATCCACATTGTAACATGTATCAGAATTTCCATCTTTTTAAAATTTTATTTTTTTTATCTCCGCCACTGTCTCTGGTACTAAATATTGAATCCAGCCACACTTTACCACGGTCCTTTTTTAAAAAAACTTTTGATTTTTTTTTTTTTTGGTTCAGGGGGGATTGAACTCAAGAGTACTCAACCACTGAGCCACACCCCAGCACTATTTTGTATCTTATTTAAAAACAGGGTCTCAACTGAGTTGCTTAGCACCTTGCTTTTGCTAAAACTGGCTTTGAACTCACAATCCTCCTGCCTCAACTTCCTGAGCCACTGGGATTACAGGTGTGTGCCACTGTGCCTAGCAAAAAAAACTTTTCGATTTTGAGACAGGGTCTTGCTAAATTGCTGAGGCTGGCCTCAAATTTGTGATCCTCTAGAGTGGGCCTCCCCAAAGCAGCTAGGATTACAGGTGTGCACCATCATGCCTGGCAGAATTTTCTTTAAAACTGAATAAAATCCCATTGWATGGATAGACCACATTCTGTTTATTCTGTTTACACTTGGCTATTGTAAATAATGCTGCTATGCTTATGGTAGGGGGTACAATCTCCTTAAACTGTCATTTGCAATTCTTTTTTGTAAGTCCTGGATTGGAATTGCTGAACCATGTGGTATCTATTTAATGTTTTTTTTTTTTAATATTTATTTCTTAGTTCTCGGCAGACACAACATCTTTTGTTGGTATGTGGTGCTGAGGATCGAACCCGGGCCGCACGCATGCCAGGCGAGCGCGCTACCGCTTGAACCACATCCCCAGCCCCTCTATTTAATGTTTTGAAGAACCTCTATACTGTCTTCCACAGGGGCTGCACCATTTTACGCTCCCACCAAGAGCACACAAAGATTCCAATATTTCCACATTCTCACGAATACTTGTTATTTAATACCCTAAGATTTTGTAAATGTGAATTTCACAGATCTGTTGCTGAGTAACAAATTTCCCTTAAATTTAACAGTTTATAAGAAGTGTTTATTATTTCACATAATTTCTGAGAGTCGGTAACCTGAGAGTGGCTGTACTGGGCGGTTCATTTAACCTCCCCGCCACGCCCCCAACCATCCTTAAGCAAACCATGATTTGCTTTCTGTCACTATAGGTTAGTTTGCATTTTCTAGAATGTTCTCTAAATGAAATCATAGAGTGCGTGCGTGTGTGTGTGTGTGTGTGTGTGTGTGTTCTTTGTAATGCTTTTCAGATCAGTTACTATTTTCAGTGTGCCAGTATTCTGTGTTGTTGTCTTTGTTTAATTGTTGAGTCCTATTCTCTTGCAGGCGTACTTTAGTCTGTGTTGTTTATTCCCCTGGCTGTGTTGAGACTGGGTCTTCCTACGCTGCCCAGGTTGGCCCAGATCTTCTGGGCTCAAGTGATCCTCCTGTATCAGCCTCCCAGGTAGTTGGGTCTACAGGTACATGCCGCTGCACCTGGCTACGTTCCCCTGTTCATCGACACTTGGGGAGTGTTTTTATAGGAGAACAGAGTCCAGATCCCAGCTGAATACAGGGTGGGGTCAATGTAGCCTTGGAGGATCCCCTGCATCACGGTCAGAAGGCAGGAGATCAGGCCTCTGGCAGGTGGCAGTGACCAGAAGGGGAGTGCTGTTGGAGATGGGTGAACAGGCAGGCAGGGGAGCCAAGCTGCTGTCATGCCACAAGTGGCTGACATAGGTGACAATCAGGAGACTTGGGGAGGGGGTAAGGCCTAGAATGATCCAATCAGGAGGATAAGGCAAGGCATTCAGTTTTCTCCCCCCCCTGCTCCCCCCCATACTGGGAATTGAACTCAGAGGGGCTTAGTCACTGAGCCACATCCCCAGCCCTTTTTTATATTTTATTTAGAGACAGGGTCTCACTGAGTTGCAAGTGCCTTCCTAAATTGCTGAGGCTGGCTTTGAACTTGGGATCTTCCTATCTCAGCCTCCTGAGTCGCTGGAATTACAGGCATGCGCCACCACACCCGGCTAAGGGCATTCAGTTCTGAGCTTGCCATCTTTCTCTTTCTTCCATCTTTGGAAATTCAGATGGGCACCAAGCTTGAATGGAGAAAGCTCAGTCTCCTACTTCTAGCCACACACTCATCAAGAAGCCCTCTGAGTTCCAGAAGATGGATTGCTCATGTCTCTGTGCATGCGTGCATACCCGTGTGCAGCGGTGCATGTGTGAGCATGCATGTGTGCCCATGTGACAGGGAGCTGATTCTGTGGGATGGGGTGAAGAGGGGCTGTGAGCTGGGAGGCAGGAGGCACCAAGGCAGAAAGCACAACATGGAGAGAGAACTTGGCTGATAGAGGTGACAAAGCCTCAGATACAAGGGGAGGTTCATCAGGAGGTCAGCACAGGGCAGCTGAGAATGGCCATTGCCTGCTTTAGTCTACACCCCCTTGATCAGAGAAAAATTCTGAGATATCCTCAATTTAATTGTAAGGACCAGAGAGTGGAGGAGGAGGAGAGATAAGGGAGTTAGTAAGTTAACAGTGGTTCCCAAACAACAAAACCATGTTCCTGAATGTAGGTTGAAACCTTTGCAAATCCCATTGCCACCCCTGGACACCACTTGCATCTTGCTTACTATTCTGACCATTCTAGAAGCAGCAAGACTTTTCCCTTGTGGACTGACTTCCTATCGGAAAACTCTACATGATTTTGTTACCCTGTTCCTTTTATCTATAGCCATGAAAGTTCAGTGAAACAATTCATGCCTGCCTTCCCCAAATTTTTTGTAATAAAAATGCTTTTATCTCTAGGTCCAGTGGACATACTGCCGACTTCTATCCAGCTCTGCTTCTGAAAGTTGTGGGAACTTGTTCCAGGACCTTGTCCTTTTTCTGTCTAGCAACTGTAATGGCTCAAGAATCCTTTTATTTCCGAGGCCACTAGACCTCCCGAGTTTTGGTTGAACACCCTTCATGTCAATCTCCGCTGAGGCCCCTGTGCTGTCAGGTGAAGATATCTGAAAGGACACCTCCCACTTGCTCAAGCTAGATTCAGGCAGTCGGAAAAGATGTCCTCAGATCCTTCATGCGCTTGTTTTGATACCACTCAGCCCCTGGTAGTCTGGTCTCCCCAAAGCCCAAATCTGGCGGGAAGCCTTCGCTGCTGTGACCTAGAGCTGGGAGGGTGTGGAAGTGGAAGAGCTCTGCCCTACAGAAGACTGGGTCACCATACTGTCACCATATCATATCTCACCATACTGTTTTTCTTGTCTCTTTCCCATCCTTCCCTTCCTCCTCTTCCAAAAATCTGGGGTCTGCCTAGCATCCTCTAGTTTCCCAGGGCTGTGGTCTCCTAGCAACAAGACCTATCCCACCTTAGCTAAGGGCTTTCATAGGGTCTGAGAAAAGCCTTGGGGTAGATTCCCCCAGACACCCCTGGGCGGCCAGGCTTCCACAGTCGCGAAGGCCACGACAGGGACCAGGGACACAGTGTCTGGATTGGTCGGTGGGCCAGAGGCGCGGTGGTCCCGCCCCCTTGTTGCCACGGCTCAGCCTATCCGCGTCCAGGCGGGCCTTGGTCTCCAGGTGGTCGGGGTGCTGGTCGGAGCAGGTGCGTGCGGGCAGGTGGGGAGGACTGGGGGTCCCCAAGTGATTTCCCCGCCGAGTCCCTCTCGTTGAGTCTTGGGGGTCTTTAGGCGGAGTCGCGGAAATAGGCCTCCCTCTGACCAACGAGAGGCGGCCCCTTCCTCCGACGCGAGCCTCTCCCCACCCCTCGGCGCGCTCCCGGGTTTGGATCCAGCGCGCGCGCCCCGGGCTCCCCGCCCGCGGCCGAGGGGCGGGGCCCGCCAGGCTCCCCCGGCGCCGCCGCCGGCAGCCCCCTCCGCTGGCCTTCGCGCCGCTCGCGGGGCTCCGGCCCCGCCCCACCCCAGGCGACCCTCGGTGGAGCGGCGGGAGGCCGGAGCCGGAGGTGAGCGAGCCGCGAGCAGGTGGAGGGGCCGGGCGCGGGCCGGGGCCGGGCTGGGGGAGGGGGCGGGCCCGGGACGCGGCTCTTTGTCTCCGGTAGCCAGTTCGCGGGGCCGAGGGGCCGCCCTGTCTCGTGGCAGGTGCTGGCATCCCCGAGGGAGGATGGGGGATGGCGCTGGGGGACGGTGGGGAGACAGGGCGTGCGTTCCGGACCCCCGCATCTGGACCCTTTGACTGCCCTCTCGGGCCGAGGCTGATCTTCGGGGTTCCCGCGGGGCGAAGGGTAGGGCGTGGATGTCGGTGCCAGGGAGGGGAGGGGGCTGGGCGGGCCGCCGCTCGGCTCCGGGGAAAGGGGTTGGGTGGGACTCGAGCGCTCGGAGGAGCAGACCGGCTCGTGAGTGGGTGTGGGTGTGTGGGAAGGAAGRGGAACCAGGCCCGGGCGGAGGTCTGCCCACCCCTGGGGGGCGATGCTGGGGAAGGGCAGCGAGGTGCCCGGGTCTAGATCCCAACAGGCAACGCAGGGGGTCAGGAGCTGGGATACTCATCCGACGGTCTCCTCGTCAGGTGCGGGATGGACAAGAAGGACAAGGCCAAGGCAGCGGCTGCCGTGCGGTCGCCGGCTTCTCGCCCTCCGGGTCTTGCGACCCCCAGGCCCCCAGGGTCTCCTCGGCCTCCTCCCCCAGTCACCGCCGCAGCCCTTCGAGTTTTGGGAGCCACGGGAGCTATGGGAAGAAGGCCCCTGGCGGAACGAGGTGGGGGCGTCAGCGGAGCCGCTGTTCCGGAGGCTGCAGCCCGAGTGGCACCGACTCGGAGCGCTGGAGCAGGTCCGCGGAGCCCAGGTACCCAGCTCCCTCAGTTCTGAGCCCATAACCCCACCCCGACCCATCCCTCTTGCTTCTGAGACTCCATACCGGGGCACCTTAACTAAAATTTTCTCCCTGCAGCCTCCAGGCCCGCAGCTGCTGGGAGAGGGGAAAGGGCCTCTGCCAAGACCCCAGGCCAGGGCTCTATCTCCAGCCAGGGGCGTGCCAGCGGGACCGCCAGGTAACTTGCCCCACCTCCTTAGTTCCCTAAGCAAGGGTTAGCGTCACAGTCTCAACTGCTATAAATTTCTTTTGTCTCTATAGAACTAGGGATGGAACCCAGGGACTCACACATGCTAGTCAAGCACTCTGCCACTGAGCTACATCCTCAGCCCTTTTTATTTTTCATTTTGAGACAGGGTCTTGCCAAATTGCTGAGGATGTCCTGGATCTTGTGATCCTCCTACCTCAATTTACCAAGTTGCTGGGATTAGGCTGTGTCACTTTGCTGGGCTGAACTTTCTAATGTTACACATGAGTTAGGGGCTTAGGAATGTTTGCACATAACTAGGTGCAAATTGGGTGAAAGTCATTTGGGGATGGCAGAGAGGGTATGTGCCCCATTTTACATATGGGAAAATGTAAATTTGGGAGGTCTAATAAAGAGCTGGTTCCTCCTGTCCCCAGGCCAGGCCCTGTTGGACAGAAGGGGCTCAAGCCTCCAGCTGAGGAACCTGTGGCCAGAGGAAAAACCCCAGAAGCACCCAAAAAGAGTGTCCTGAGCTCTGGAGCACGAAAGGGTATGTGATCTAGGACGAGGTGGTTCCTGGATGTGAGGGGGACTAGCCAGGAGGTATCTGGCACTTTCGGTTTTCTGCTTTGTCTCCAGACTCTTCAGGGCCCACCTCAGGAGCCTCCTCCCCAGCCATCGCCCGGAGGTCCAAGGCTATGGGCACAGAAGCAGGACTCCCCCGAACAGCTGCAAGTGCCCGGCCACGTCCTCCAACTGAGTTGCCCAGGAAATCAGTGAGCAGTGCAACAGAACACAGTACCACAGAGCCCAGCCCAGCCGCCAGGAGGCGCCCCAATGCTGGTGGGAGCCTCCAAAAGCCGGCCTCTCGTCCCCTGGGCTCCAATGCTACTCCACTGTCCTCCCCAGCTCGTTCTGGGGCTTTGGCCCGTGGTACTCCGCGAGCTCCTGCACATACCTCGCAGCCCAAGTCCAAAGGACTGCACACTCTACGCCCTCTGCAGGCCACATCAGCGAGAAAGGACGCAGCCTCAGTGCAGGGCCTGGTATCTCCTCCTCCTTTGGCCACGTCCTCACCACCTGGTTCCACAGTACAACAGGCACCACTTCCCCAAGTCTCCGGGGCTCCCCTGCTGGCCACACTCCCTCCCTCTCCACCCACCACACCACCTCCACCTGCATTGCTGAATCTTCCTGCCACATCCTCCCCACAGGTCACGCCCCATTCACAGACACTAACCGGCCCGACAGCCACGCCCCTTTCTTTATCCACGGATGCTCCACTCTCTTTGCAGACTCTCCCCTCTCCACCGGCCACGCCTCCCCTGCAAGCTCCACCCACATGCCAGGATATAGCCTTTCCTCCAGAGGCCTCGGTCTCCCTGTTGCCCATGGCTACATCAGTTTCACCWCCTCGGCAGAATGTGCTTTCCACCCAGGCTTTGGCTTGGTCCCCTCTTCCGACTCCCTTGGCCACACCTCCTTTGTCCGCTCCTCAACCTTTAGCCATGGCCCCTCTACAAGCCCCTATTTCTCCRCCAGTATCTCCACAGAATCCCTCCTCTCCCTTGACCATGCCCTCTCTGCCAGCCCTTTCCACTCTGACTGTGAGCCCTCCACTGGTCAGTCCTGTCTTGTCTCCGCCCTCTCTTCAGGCCAACCCCTCTACTTTGGCCATGCCTCCCTCACAAGACCCTTTTCTTCCCGTCACATCCCCTCTGCAGGATGCTCCCCTCGTTTCTCCCTCTCCTTTGGCCTCACAGCCTCTGCAGTCGCCTTCCTTTCCCCTGGGCACGCCCCCTGTGCAGGCCCCATCCTCTCTGATCACGCCCCCTTTACAGCCCTCTGCCTCTCTCTTGACCATGCCACCCATACAAGCCTCAACTTCTCCGGCCTCACCACCTCTGCAGTCCACTCCTCCTTTGGCTTCCTCCTTTCCGCAGGCCTCACTTTCTCTGGGCTCCCCTCTTCTGCAAGCCACACCTTCTTTCCTGCCCATTTCCCTGATACAAACCCAACCTTCTCTGACTTCGCCCCCTCTGCAGGCCCCTTCTCCCCCTACCACATACCATTTGCCCCTTCCCTCTCCTCCTTCCTCACCTCCTCTGAAGGCTCTTCTCTCTCCCTCTCCTCCTGCCTCACCTCTGCAGGCTCTTCTTTCTCCTCCCGCCTCACCTCCTCGGCAGGTTCCTCCGTCTCTCTCTGCCCCGCCCCCTCCACAGGTTCCACCTCTGGACTCTCCCCCTCTCTCTCCTTCAGTCTTGCCCACTCTGCAGGCCCCTCCCATAACCACGTCCCCTCAGCATGCCCCATCTCTGGCCTTGTCCCCTCTTCAGGCTCCTCCCTCTCCCGTGGCCACTCCCCCACAGGCTCTGCCCTCACTGTCCTCACCCATTCTGCAGACCCCTGCCTCGCCCCCTCCGCAGGTTCCACGCCGCCCCCCGACCCCAGGTCCAGATGCTTCCACTTCGGGTCCACGGCTGACCCTGGCACTGGCCCCCGCCGCGCCGCCGCCACCTTCGCGCAGCCCGTCCAGTACATTGAGCGGCCCGGACCTGGCCGGCCACAGTAGCAGCGCCACAAGCACGCCCGAGGAGCTGCGCGGCTACGACAGCGGGCCCGAAGGTGGCGCCGCAGCCTCCCCACCTGCAGACGCGGAGCTCGCAGCCTGCCACCCGGCCGCCTGGAGCCGAACTTCGGCTCCACCACTGGCAATCCGCGGCGCGCCAGGTAAGGGAGATTGTGGGCCGGACCTGGCTGTGGGTGGGGCAGGAGGCAGGGCTCGCAGCTTGTGGGAGGGCCAGTTGGACTGGGGACCGAACTTCCAGCTCTCTCTGCTCAAGGTCTAATCTTTCCCGGCAGGATCGGCCCTGCCGTGGCCTCCAGTTGCCGGGCCTGGCTCAACTGATGGTCTGTGCACCATCTATGAGGCGGAAGGGCCCGAGTCGGCGACTCCCACACCAGGAGCACTGGATCAGGGGCCCGAGTCCGGCGCTGGTGGTGGGAAGGCTGCGACCGGGTCCGGGACTGGGGTGTCCTCGCGGAGCCCAAAGCTTGCGCGCCTGGGAGAGCTGCCGCTGGGGGCGCTGCAGGCTAGCGTCGTTCAGCACCTGCTGAGCCGGACGCTGCTGCTGGCGGCGGCCGAGGGTACTGCGGGAGGCAGCGGCAGTGGTCCAGGGGGTGCGGGAGGTGGTGGTGTCACCGGGAGCTCCCGAGCTCCGCTCAGCGACGCYGAACTGGGCCGCTGGGCCGAACTCTTGTCTCCTCTTGACGAATCCCGTGCCAGCATCACTTCGGTCACCAGCTTCTCTCCAGATGACGTGGCCTCCCCACAGGGTGACTGGACTGTGGTGGAAGTGGAGACTTTCCACTAAGCCAGACGGTAGCCCCGCCAACCACCCCTATTTTAGGGTCCGCTCCTCCGGTGGCACCTCTTTGTCTTAGATCCCGCCCCCATTGCCCTGGAGCCCCTCTGTCGTTAGATTGTTTTTAGTAGCCCCTAGTGTGGCAGTCTTTGGGACCAAGCTCCACCTCTACCTTTGGGGCCCACCCACACCCTTGGCCTAGGACCTCCCCTCGAGGCTACCCATTTAATCTAAGACGCGCCTCTGCTCTCGAGAGTCCTGCCTTGCTCCCATCCCACGTCCTGAGCATTGTCTACTTGGTACAGCCCGAGTTTGCAATAAAACCGGGWCGCTGGAGTTTGTGTGCCCTTGATCTCGCCGCAGGGTCGGGACTTGGGGGGCCTCCGCAGAACCAGCGGGCAGCTGACCAGCGCGAGGGGTTCTGGCAGCTTCCGGGGGCAGGTGGGAATTCTGGCTGAACCTCTTCACCGGAGGAAAAGAAGGGGCAGGAGAGGTGGGGCTGCCGCAGAGGAGCCCTGGTCGCCCCGCGGGACATGCCTACCCAAGTCCATGAACTTGTAGTTCTTTAGGTCCTACTTCTAGTTAGGCTCAAGAGAAGAGCGAACAGATGAGCGAATGCAATGCGTATCTATAGTGGAGAAGCGACTGAGCTCTCCCCATTCTTGGGTTAAAAGCGAGAAGGGTTGGCCCTCTTCCCACAGCGCACATCCCCTTACCTTATGCGTCCTCTGGGTAGGGACTCCCCTACCCAGAGTAGGGCCTGGAGGCCGAGGAAGGGGTCCATTGGCGTCCTCTGTTCCCCTGCCACCTTCCTGACCCTGGGCACTCCGCCCTCCGTGACTGTAGTGCAGAAGGCAAACCAGCAGCCAGGCCAGGGGCTTAAAGGACACTTCTTGGATGTAGGGTGTTGGGCTGACTGACCTGGTTGGAGCCTGCAAGGAAGAAGTGGCCTCTGCCAGGGCTGGGTGGGAGATGGGCAGTCCTCACTGGGCCATTTTGTGCATCATAGCCCCACGAACATTCTTGCCCTGTGCCCTACCTGTGACATCCCCTGTCCCCACATCTTTCCTTGCGCTTCCTGCCCTGCACCCAGCCCAGACACTCCCATGCCAGATCCCTTCTAGCTCCACTCCAGGCCCTCCCTCCTTCCCAAACACCTCTGCAAGGAGTTTCCCCTAGGCTTTTCCTCCTCAAGGGCCTCTGCTGGACACCGAGAATGATGGGGCAAAGGGACCTTTGGACCTGGTCCCTTTACTCCACCCAGTGACCAGGCCTTTGTCAGGAAAGATCACCAAGTTGTGTCTGTCCCCACCTCAAAAGAGCTACCTCCCAGCCTGGGGCCCAAAGATAAATGGGCCCAGAGGGGCTGTGTTATCTCCACCCTGAGGAGCCAATAGTGAGTAGAATGGAAGGCCAGCCAGCTCCCTCATTCAGATAGAGTTTCCTCTCCAACTGGGCCCTGGTGGGAAACCAGAGTTTCTTGTTCTCCGACACTGAGACAAGCCCAGGAGGCTGACTCTTGATATGCCAGGCAGCCAGGACCTGAAGGCCAGCCCCAGGAAAAGGCAGGGGAGAAGCTCAGATGGTTCCTCAGGAGCCCTGCTGTAGCTTGGGAAATGACTGGGGTGGAGCCAGTTGTCCTGTGGAAGCAGAAGTCCTGTGGGTAAATCTAGTAATGATGGGTGTTGCCCCAGAGGCATCCCCGTGATGGGACAATATGTGAACTTGGTTATCCTGGCATGCAAAGACTGACATGTCTGGCTGCCCAGCAGTCATCAGGTAGCAGAGGGGGCCATTTTTGGGGTCCACACTGGTGCAGAGGGCAGGGCCTGGTTGTCATCTGCCCAGACCAAATAAGATTCTGCCCCTCTGCAGCCTTCCTTTGTGATCCCCGCTTCATCCCTCCACACACCAGCTGGGACTCCAGCTCAGCTTCATAGGAAGCCCCACAAAGGACTCTTGCCTCCTTGGGTCCTCTTCTCCCAGGTGCTTCCACCCACTCTCCCTACTGCCTGGCTTGGCGTGGTCCAGTCTCTTCACGGACCTCCAAACACGCCGTCGTCTATCTGATGGTGTCCTTCTCCCCATGCCCTCAATTGGCTCCCACTGCCTTCAGTTCAAAGCCCCAATTCTCCATCTTAACCCAAGTAACTCCTTCCTTTTCTGGCCACACCCAAGTTTTCCTCTTCTTCCTGGGTATTCTGTCCCTTCCTTGCTGGTCCCAGTGACATCTAGCCTTCATGCTTTTGCCCTTGAAGAAAGCTCTGACATTGTCTCCTCCAGGAAGCCTTCCTTGATTTCCTCAAACTGGTGTCTATTTGGCACTTACCACATTAGTGGCAGTTCAATCTTCACCATACTTGAATAAGGCACAGGACAGAGCACCCTAGAAAGCTTCTTGAAGTGTGTGCTGAATGAAGGCAACCAGATCCTGCTCTTCTGGAAGCTGGGCTTTCTGCTTGTGTCCCAGGGGAGGCCTCAGTGGGGGTCATATCCTGTCTTCCACCTCTCCCACAGCCTTGCTCACACCAACCAGCGACCACAGATGATGCCCTTTCCTCTCCTGGCAACCGTGTTAGACTGCAGGAAGCTCTGGAGGGCAAGGACAGCACTGCCTCTCAGCTCTGTTGCTGGCCAGGGCCAGGGCACCTGTTGCTGCTGTAATCCTCTCCACCTCAGGCCTGCCCCACTCAGAGCCCCTTGTCCATGACTGTGTAAATACACTTTATTTTCCATCTTTCTCGCCTGGGCGACATGTGGAGTGTGAACAGGCAGTGTGCAAAATGGTGGTGGGCAGTGTGGGTGGCATGTGGGACAGCCCCGCAGGTGCCTGCCCTGGTCCCCAGGCTTGGTAACACTGAAGAGTAGGTGACCAGGAAGGGGGTACTGAGCAGGGGTCCCCACCCCAGGATGTGCCAGGGAGATTGCTTGTGATGGTACTCTACTCGAGGCTCCAGGAGCACCGAGGGGGTCAGCCCTGACAGTCAGGAGGCCCTGGGTGGGACTTGGAAAGGGTGGGGGGGGCATCATTGGACTTTGGCACCGTTCTCAACTTGGGTTCAGCAGAGACCGGAGGAGGCAATTCTGCTGGGAAACTCCACCCATGGGCCTGACCCTAGCCTGAGGGTGGGGCTAGGGCCACAGGAAGGAAGAAAAGTGGATGAGGCTGAGGAATCTCAAGGAGAGTCCCCTTCCATCACTGGCCAAGATAGGTGATGCCAGTAATTCCCAGAAGACAATGGGGGGCTGGGGAGAGGGATCTCTTTGCTTCCTTATAGCTTCTCTGGCCCCAGAGAAGCAGGGAGATACTGCCCAGGCTTGAGCTGGTCCCTGCTGGCCACTCACACCCCAGGTGGTCCTTTACATAAGGGGGGACTTTGGTTTCTGCTACAGGGGCCACAATGCCTGCACCAGGCAGGAAAGCCTAGCCTGGTCATCTGTCCCCTGGCAGCCAGGAGCTGGATGATCAAGGGTCACTGTGTCCTGAGGGCATCCTCATGGGGTGCTAATGTCCAGCCCAGAGCTGCCCCTCTTCCTCAGGCCTCTTCTAGCTCCTGGGCCCTTCCCAGCAGGGCCGCCCTTGTTTCTGAAGGAAGCCCACTCATCCAGTCCTGCCATCTCTTCATCGCCGCCCCTGCCCTCAGTGTGGAGGGCAGACCTTCCAGGTAACTGCTCAGGCACCACCCCTGGGACACGGGAGGGCCGGAGGGGTACCACCAAGAAGGGTAAACACTGCTGGGGAGGGAGGGCCTGCCGGGGCCCTGCCCTCTACGTGCTGCCTCAATGACTCGGCCCTGGGGTAGGCAGAGCCGGCGAGGCGTGGAGTTCTTCAGTGCGTGTGCGGAGCAGCAGGCGGTTGACTGCCCCGTGTACCGAGGCTGTGGCTTCCCGGCTCCGCCGCGGGGAACCGGGTCTTAGTTGTCCAGGCCCTGGCTATAGGGCGCAGCCAGCTCATCTGCGTCACTGTCTGAGCTGCCCTCGCTGTCCTTGGCGGGTCGCTCTAGACGTCGGAAGAAGCGCGCATCGCGCGGGGACAGAGGATAGAGCGCGTCCTGTAGAGCAGCGCCCACGCCCACGCCGAGCAGCTCCTCGTCCGACGACGGCAGCGAGTCCTCATCCAGGTGCCGGGCCAGGCTCAGTCCATCGAAAGCCAGTGGATCCTCGAAGGGTGGCGGGCCCTTCAGCAGCCGCACCTGGGGCGGGGACCGGCGCGCTGGAGGCGTGGGCCGATGTACCCACGCGGAGTCCAGCTGCCAGGCACCCTCCTCCCCCGCCCTCCTAGAAGCATCCTTCTTACTGCACCGACGTCTGGCCTGTCACCGGTATTCCCGAACGCTCACCTCCGCCTTCAGCTCCTCAATCTGGTCCTTGAGCTCACGGATGTACTGCGACGAGTCTGAGTGGTTCAGTTGGCCCTGAATGCGGCCCTCCTCCCTCTGCAGGGAGGGCCAGGGCACCTGCGGTCAGAGCAGGCAGGGCCCGGCCCCCAAGTCTGACCTCCACATCCCTGCCCGGAACCCCGCTCACCTGGATCTCCAGCTCCGCGATGCGCTGCCTCATCTCAGCCACCGCAGCCATGCTGTCCGCCTCCCGCAGACGCACGGCCATCACCTCTTCCTTGCTCTGGGGATGGGAGAGAAGGGGCGGTCAGGGGGGCGGTGAGGGCTGGGGCAGGGCCGGGAGGGCTGGGCAAGGGACGGCACCTTGCACTCCGCCTCGGCCTGCTTGCGGCGGCTCTCGCTGAGCTGTGTCTGCAGCCCCTTGTTCTGCGCGGCCAGGTACTGCAGCTTCTCCTGCAGCGCGGCGCGCTCGGCTTCCACGCGGTTCAGCAGGTTGCGGTGGATGTGGTCCTAAGGGTGGGAAAGAAGGCGGGCCAGCGGGGATCACTGCCTGGCCAATGGGCACCAACACCAAGCACCCTCCCCCAAGTTCGCGGGCTTTGGGGCTGAGCGCCCACCTGGGTTTCAAGTTCCACCACACGCTGCCGTAGCTCGCGACCCTCGGCCAGG